GGGGGCAGGGCGGGGGAGCCCAGTGTGGCGGCGTGGGGGTGGGGACCTGGGCGGAGGAGGGGCCGACTGAAGGCTCTGAGCGCGGCTGCTGCTGCTGGGCTGGCGGTTGGGCAGAGCGCAGCACCCTGGCAGCAGGGCCCACACCACGGGGCCATGGGCAGCCCAAGCCAGGCGTGCTGCTGCCCATGCTCACGGCCAGGGTGACCCCAGCCCTGAGGCCCAGCCCCAACCACCCTGGCTTCATGCCAGAGACTGTCCTGGCTGCCAGTCGGCCAGCCTCTGGGGCTCAGCCTGGGCTGGGACTGCTGCTGGGGCACAGGTGAAGCACTGGCCAGGCTCTCAGGCCCCAGGGCAGGCAGGCTGGGGGGAGCCAAGTCCTCTATGGCGGCCAAAGCAGGGATGGCCAGCGGGACAGGGGCTCTGCGGTCCAGGGCCCAGAAAGGCCGGGTGAGGCGGGCCGTGCGCATCTCCAGCCTGGTGGCCCAGGAGGTAGGTGACCCCTAGTCCCTCCCCCTCCCTTGCAGGGCTGGGGCACTGAGGCAAGTGGCCAGCAAGTGGGGATGCTGCCCAGAGGCTCCGGTTTAGGGCCAGGGAGAAGGCTTCTGGGAGGCAGGAGAGTTTGGGGGGATTGTGGGGTCCTGGCCCTGCCCCTCCATGCTGGGTCCTGCTCACTCACCTCCTGGGCTAGGTTCACAGTGTTTCCTTGCCGGGACTTACCTGCTTCTGTGGTTTCCGTGGCCCACAGTCTTGGAGCTCGAAATGCAAAGGAAGGAGAGAGACAACAGGAATGAGATGGGTGCCCAGAGAGGATGGCGGGGAGGTGGAGGGAGGAGAAGGAGCCAGCGGGCAGGACTAGAAAAGGCTGCAGGCGGCAGCCAGGCCTGGCATGGAGGTTCTGGGGCGTCCTGGCTCTATGTACTAGGGGTGGACTCTGCGGCAGGTGAGAGAGGCTTGGCTGTTTTCAGGGGTCCAGGAAACTGAATCTGGGGATGGGGTCAGAAGCCACTGTGTGGGTGGTGAGGCCATGCGGAGCTGAGGCACCTGGCTTGTCTCCTCACGGGTGACTGGAGGTGTGGTGGCTGGGCCATGCGCTACTCTGTTGCATCCCGGGAGCCACCTCTTTGCCTCATCAGAGCCAGGGGCAAGTCAGGGTGATAGTGGAGGAGGAGATCTAAGAATCACACCCATGCCCCACTGCCCTGCCTGGCACCTGAGTGCTCTCTGCCTTGGTGCATATGCTCCTCCCAGCTGGAGGACAGGTAAAGATGGGAGTCTTCCCACCCACAGGTGAGGACCCAGAGTTTGGCTGAAATAAGCTGTCTTCTGTATTCTATAGGACAACAGGCTAGGGGGGTTGCATGCCTGGCCCAAAGTCACGGGTAAACTGGTGGCTGCAGAGCTGGGACTGGCCCCTGTGAAGAGGTATGTGGGGCTAGGCCTTGTGTCCCAGGCTTGGCCCATGCATGAGTGTGTGTGTGCCCTAGGGCGGTACAGCTTCTACTGTGGGCAGACTCCGGAGCAGGGTCACTGCTGTCGCAGATGGTTCTGACTTCTCAGGCACAGGAAGGAGTTCTTTCTAGGGACACCTACCTTCTTCTACCCCATTGTCTGTGGGGTTCCACCCAGTCGTTTTTTTCCAGTCTCCACTTAATCCCTGAAAGGCACCACCCTATGAGCATTTGCTCTCTGCCTTAAGGAGCAGGCCACTTGGGCTGAAGGCAGAGCAGAAGTGGGAACCTGCTCATGTGCTCCCTCCCTGTCCCAGGCCCTAGGCCCTAGAAGATCCCCCACCCCATCTGGTACCTCTGGAAGCCCTGTGTTCACCCCAGCATGGCCAAACGCTTAACTATGACCCCTCTTAACTTCTAGTTGTTTACTCTAAGGAGATGTTCTCCAAACAACACCATCTGTGAAGGGTCTAGGGTATCCTCAGCCTGAATAAGAATGGGAGACTTTGGGACTCCACCCACCATGGTCCTCCCCAGCCCAGAAGCTTGAGGCTCGGAGGGCCCCAGGAGTCAGTGCTTCTGGGAGTCTGGCCAGCAGTTGGGCTCGGTTGGCTGCCCAGGGATGGCAGAGGCCAGACTGGGAGAGCTTGGGGAGGGGGCTTTTGGATTGATTCGGTTTTGATTTGTGAGAGAGGATTCTGAGGAGGACACAGATGGACAGATAGAGTCTTCTGGAACAGTATGGGAAGTGGCCTGAGACTTCCCTAGTTTGACTTGGGAGAAAGAGTGTTGTGGCTGCTGTCACCTGGCTTGGATGGTGGGCTGCCTCTCCCTGACTGTTGAGGCAGGATGTGCTTCCTCCCCGTCTGTGAGTGTGAGCTTGCACAGGACTGTGTGTGTCACTCCCAAGCAAACCCTTTGTGCATGACTCTCTGTATACATTAGGCACCATCTCCTCTGGGCTGGGCTATGCCTTCTGTGTTCCTTTGTAAGAATGTGGGAAAGTAAGGACTGTGGCTGCCCTGGGCCTGGGTGGAGAGAGAGCTGGGGGAGCGGGGCTGGGGTGGAGTGGGAGTGGGATTGTCTTGGTCTCTCCCCACTCTGGAAGGCCAAGGAGCTTGAGACTGGGTGGCTGGTATCCTCGGGCCAGTGGCATGAAGTGGGTCTGGTAGGGAACTGCAGTGACTACCATTTTATGTGTTGGAACTGTGGTTCCTGGGGCCACTGCCTAGGCTGGGAGCTATTGTCTTGGGATGTTTTCTGGTCTGAGACTTTGGTGTATGTGTGGTATTTGAGGCTGTGGGCTAGATTGTGTGGTGCCAGTCACAGTTGTAGGTCTGGCTGTGCATTGCTAATGGGAGCGGCGTTAGGTATTACTGCTGAGTGTCCTGAAGCCAGCTCCACTGGGAATTGTCAGAACTGTTCAGAGCCAGCCAGGAGGTCCTGTGTGGCATGCCATTTCGGGAACTGTAGTGTCGAGGTCTGGTGGTTGTCAGTTGCTGTGGTCGCTTGGCTGAAGGGTGGGCGTTCTGACGGGAGCTTTTATGGCCTTCCCCCTCACTCTGCTGGGCCCCGGCAGAGATGTCACTGTGCCGCCCTGGAGGTCCCGTGGCCTGCCCTTACCCACGCCTGGCCCTCCCTGCCCATGCAGGTCCTCTCTCTGGGTGCGGACGTGCTGCCCGAGTACAAGCTGCAGGCGCCACGCATCCACCGCTGGACCATCCTGCACTACAGTCCCTTCAAGGCTGTGTGGGACTGGCTCATCCTGCTGCTGGTCATCTACACAGCTGTATTCACGCCCTACTCGGCTGCCTTCCTGCTGAAGGAGACGGAAGAGGCCCCCCCGGCTTCTGACTGCGGCTATGCCTGCCAGCCACTGGCTGTGGTGGACCTCATTGTGGACATAATGTTCATCGTGGACATCCTCATCAACTTCCGCACCACTTATGTCAATGCTAATGAGGAGGTGGTCAGCCACCCCGGCCGCATAGCTGTCCACTACTTCAAAGGCTGGTTTCTCATCGACATGGTGGCCGCTATCCCCTTTGACCTGCTCATCTTTGGCTCAGGCTCTGAGGAGGTAAGATTGGCAGGGAGGCAGGAGGAGTGGGAAGAGGAGAGGCTGGGAGGATGGGTAAAGGGAGAGAGGCTGGTAGGAGGTAGTGGGGTGAAGGGGATGGTAAAGGGGAGAAGCAGGGAGAGAGAAGGAGGGGGATAGGGAGATGGGGAGAAGAAAGCTGTAGAGGCATGGGGAGTGCCCCAACAAACCCATGCTTCTGCCCTCTCCATATGAGCTCCTCATAGGGTTGCAGAGGGCCAGAGGGAGTACCTTTTCTGGTTCATCCACACAAGGGGCCACCACTTTCTAACTCACCCAGAAGTGCTCTAGAAGCTAGTGGGAGTTCTGGCCAGGCACCTTAGGGTGCTTGTTGCACCTTTTGGAGCCCTTGCTTCCTCATTCTCACTATGGAGACCATGACTCCTCTGTCCTAAAGTTGGGATGAAGGTGATGTGCTGGGCCTAGTGTGGGAGGTGCTTTGTACCAGGTGGCTTCAACTCTTAGGAGGCGGTTCCAGGAAGAAGTCTTTGGGGCTCTGACCGTTGATGTCCCCTACATGGGCTACTGAACCCCCTGCTTCTCCTTTACCCCCATCCTGAACGATCCCCTCTACCCACCCCCCGCCTTCTAGCTGATTGGGCTCCTGAAGACCGCGAGGCTGCTGCGGCTGGTGCGTGTGGCACGAAAGCTGGACCGCTACTCGGAGTACGGGGCGGCCGTGCTCTTCCTGCTCATGTGCACCTTTGCACTCATTGCACACTGGCTGGCCTGCATCTGGTACGCCATTGGCAACATGGAGCAGCCAAACATCGACTCCCATATCGGCTGGCTGCACAACCTGGGAGCCCAGATTGGCAAGCCGTACAACAGCAGTGGCCTGGGTGGCCCTTCCATCAAGGACAAGTACGTCACGGCGCTCTATTTCACCTTCAGCAGCCTCACCAGCGTTGGCTTTGGCAATGTCTCCCCCAACACCAACTCAGAGAAGATCTTCTCCATCTGTGTCATGCTCATTGGCTGTGAGTGTGCCGGGGCCGGGTGGTGGGAGAGCCCAGTGTGGATAAAATGAGGTCCCTGGGGACTTAGAGACTCCAGGGCCACCATCAAAACATAGTTTGGGGCTGGGACACCAGGACGGGACTTGCTGAAGGGCTGGAATGTGTTGGAGTATGTATGTACTTGGGCGTCTCGTGGGCACATCAACACTGAGACTGAGATGTGCCAGTGGGTGTTGCTGACCCGAGGCAGGGCCTGAGCAGGGTCCCGTGGGTGGGCGGGGTGTCTTCGGGTGCTGACAGCCCCACCTACCCACGCCCCCAGCCCTCATGTACGCTAGCATCTTCGGCAACGTGTCGGCCATCATCCAGCGGCTGTACTCGGGCACGGCCCGCTACCACACACAGATGCTCCGGGTGCGGGAGTTCATCCGCTTCCACCAGATCCCCAACCCACTGCGCCAGCGCCTCGAGGAGTACTTCCAGCACGCCTGGTCCTACACCAACGGCATTGACATGAATGCGGTGAGGCCGCCAGAGGGTGGCGGGCAGGCGGTCGACTGAGAGCGGGGTGATGGTCGGGAGCCTCTTGGTGCGTGCAGTGAGCAAATTTCAGAGTGTCACAGTTAGTGCTCCAAAACCTTGAGAGGCATGTTGCCCACCTTTTGCCTATGAGGAAATCGAAGCCCTTGGAGCTCCTTCCCTGGAGAACTCTCCCTTGGGCTAGGTGCTATGTACCAGGCCCTTCACATAGGTGATCATGTTAAATCTTATAACGGTTCTGAGATGAGAATTTGCCTCGATACTTTACAAATAAGAGTATGGAGGTCTAGAGCCCAAGGGTGTCTGGCCAGAGGTGGTGAAGCTGGAGTGGGAATCCAGGTCCTTCCCGAGACACTGGACCACCTGATGCTTCCAGGGAGCATCCAAGATCTCCTGAACCTGGAGGACGAGGTTTCCCTGAGATGGAGGGGCGGAGTGTGGGTGGGGTCCTGAGGGAGGGTGTGCTGAATCGGCCTGCCCACCCCCAGGTGCTGAAGGGCTTCCCCGAGTGCCTGCAGGCCGACATCTGCCTGCACCTGAACCGCTCGCTGCTGCAGCACTGCAAGCCCTTCCGTGGGGCCACCAAGGGCTGCCTGAGGGCTCTGGCCATGAAGTTCAAGACCACACATGCACCGCCAGGGGACACGCTGGTGCACGCTGGGGACCTGCTCACTGCCCTGTATTTCATCTCCCGGGGCTCCATCGAGATCCTGCGGGGCGACGTCGTCGTGGCCATCCTGGGTATGGGGTGGGGGCGGGCACTGTCCCAGGAATGCCCTCACAGCCTAGAGAGGTCTGAGCCTTCTGAATGAATGGTCTTTGGGGCTGTGGACCTGGGACTGCCTGCAGGGTCTTTGGGCTGCTTTAATTCACCCAAGCTTAGGCCTCCCAGGGGTGGCAGTGGAGAGAAGCCCCACATGGGGTGGGGCTGCTGAACTCAGGGGATTCCCACATCCTTCTCTTCAGGGTCTTCCCACAGACAGACACTTCTTGCTTCTTTAAGTGGAATCAAATCTAGATCCTCCAAGGTGGGCGGTGGAGGTAGAAATGCTAACCTGGAGGCTGTGTATCTGATTCTACTAAGGGCCATGTGGTTCCTTGTAGCTTCACGAAATAATATGCCTGGCCCCTTGCCATGTACAAAGCAGAGAGAGTTCAGCTTCCCTTCCCCCTTCCTTTCTATACTACCTGTGCATGTGAGTAGGTAAGCCTGGACACGGGGGCCTTCTTCACATCTGCCTGTCCTTCCCTTGACCATGCACACCTTAGGGCAGATGTATCATCTCTTTTGACCATGGCTCATGGTAAGGCATTTTAGATTTTTGTTTCTTGCCGGGGCTAGTGGTTCACGCTAGCACTTTGGGAGGCAGAGGCAGGAGGACTGCTTGAGCCTAGGAGTTCAAGACCAGCCTGGGCAATATAGTAAGACCTTGTCTCTACAAAAAAATAAAAAAGCTGGGCATGGTGGTGAGCGCTTGTAGCCCAGCTACTTGGGAGGCTGAGGAGGAAGGATAGCCTAAGGTCAGGAGTTTGAGGCTGTGGTGAGCTGTGACCATGTCACTGTACTCCAGCTTGGGCAACAGAGTGAGACCCCAACTTAAAAAAAAAAAAGAAAGAAAGATTTTGTTTCTTAGTTTGGTATAAACACATATACTAATACCACCTCCCCCTCACCTGCACCCCCAGCCCCAACTAAAACCAAAGTTTTACTACATAACACTTACTACATGTGGTACATTCCGTTCTTTTCTGTTCTATACTGTGCTAAGTCATGCTATTGTACTTTTTTTCAATGTAAAAAAAAAAATGCTGTTCTTGATTCTTGTCTGTGTTCTGATCTATGGTTTGAAGAACACTGCTTATGAGGGATGTGATTGACCCAGGAGGGTGTTTTGAGATATGGGGTTTGGTGGTGGAAGTGGAGTTACAGCCCAAGAAAATCAAGGCTGCGGGTGCAGCTGGGGCATCTCGGCTAGTCCTGCTGGCTGGGTCCCAGTTGCTGGGAGGCACGGAGACCCAAGGCTCCTGGCTCCTTCTGCTGGCCACTTGGCACCGACCTGCCTGCTGGAAACTGAAGAAGGATGGGCTGGGAGATGCTTCCCTGGCTGTGTGGGTTGGGGGCCAGCAGGTGGTGACCTGGCTGAGGGGAGATGTCCAACCCAGAGTGGGACTCTCTGGGAGAAGGTGCCTGCTGCACCGGTGCTGTCTCATGGGACTGAGCTCTCTGTCCTCTCTGTGGCCTCTAGGGAAGAATGACATCTTCGGAGAGCCACTGAATCTGTATGCGAGGCCTGGCAAGTCCAACGGGGATGTGCGGGCCCTTACCTACTGCGACCTGCACAAGATCCATCGGGACGACCTGCTGGAGGTGCTAGATATGTACCCCGAGTTCTCAGACCACTTCTGGTCCAGCCTGGAGATCACCTTCAACCTGCGAGATGTGAGTGGGCCACCCTGAGCCACCCCTATTCCTAGGAGACCTGCCTTCTGCTCTCAGCTGTGTGGCTTCCCTTTCACTGGGTGGGCTTGAATGTGATACTCCTCTGCCTCCGTTTTCCTGTCTGTCAAGTGGTATCATAGTCAGATCAGGTGATGCAAGTCCCAGCTTCAGCCCTTGTCAGGGACATACATCACATCTATGGCAAGGAAGGGTTTACCCAGATGGGGAGCACCTGGGAGGACCCTGACACTGCTCTTGGTTCCAGACCAACATGATCCCGGGTTCCCCAGGCAGCACGGAGTTAGAGGGCGGCTTCAGTCGGCAACGCAAGCGCAAGCTGTCCTTCCGTAGGCGCACGGACAAGGGTGAGGTGGGGGAGGGGAGGGGAGGAATGTGAGGGGAGGCTGTGGTCAAGATGAGGCTGGGAGGAGAGCTGAAGACCCCCACTCCTGTCCCTTCCTCCAGTGTGCCCACTCTTCACCCCAGCTGTCCAGATGCTGCCCATCCTTTCAGGCCCATTTTAGCTGCCACCAGCTGGAGGAAGAGCTCTCCCACCCTCCAGGGCAAGGGTGTGTCTAGGCTTTTTGGTCTTCTCAGGGATAGGGTCTCAGTGGGCGCTGCCTTGAACCAATGAGGGGGGAAGACACAGAACAAAGGAGGGCGAGGGAGCCAGCGAAGGGGGCTGAG